CCGCCCTATTTTCTCACTGATCTTATGATCCACAAAATAACCTCTGTATTGCAGCTTGAGAGAGGATTTCACAGGCTGTTCCAGGGTGCCCCTGTCCTTAACGATGGACACGAAAATAACAGCTTTACTAAGAATCGCGAGGCTCTGTTGACATTCCCCACAGCTGCTTTTTTGGTTTTCTTTTTAAGCATAACTCAGTAATTTCCAGTTGCTAATGGGCTGACGGGATCTCTCACCAATATAGAAACCTAGAGCAAATAATGAGACCAGACTCTTCCCATTTTTATTTTTAATTTACGCTTTGTGGCCAGTCTCATCCAGCTTTCGGAATTGAGGTTTGTGCCTCGTGCTTCGGTCCCAAATAATCGTACAACAAAAAACACTTACTGGGCAGTCATCAATAAACCACAGCGTGGCATTGCGTACAGAACTATGTGGAAAGAGGGACAAGGAACTTATTTTGGTAGAGGATTTCTGCCAAATTGCCTATCAATACTATTTTAATGCAAGTTTTGCCTTTCCTCTGTGTGTGCACAGTTCAGTTAATCCTGGCATCTGAACAGATTCCAGTAAAACTTGTGATCTGTCCGTTGGCAGATCTGGGCCCTTTGTGATGCTGCGAGAGGACAGATAGGCTGGCAATAGAGAGCGGAGTTCACTTCTGAAAAGGGCTAGCCTAGCACAAAGGCCACAAAACCCCAAATCTGGATTAAATCCATGGTGTAAACCGGCTTCGTAGACGGGGGCCAGTTTCGCTCCATCTGAAGGCGAGGGGGTGGCCGGTGCTGGGAGATGAGTCACTGATTCCCGGCTTTTCCACTGTGAATGAAACCTCTCGGGCTTGCCAGTGCATGGTGTCTGCAGGCCTGGTGCCGTGCCAGCGCTGGAACAAGGAAGCCGTGTTGAGGAGGAGACGTGGCCTCTGCTCAGCAGGTTGCACATTGGCCCCGTGACCGAACGGCCCAGGGCCTCGGTGCCGTGCTGCGCAGAGGTTGGCCCTGTGCTGCTGCGGCTCCAGGCTGCTTGTGATTAAACTCTTAGGTGATGAACTCTCATGAAGTATGAGGGTTGTTTCTGTAGAGCCCACCCAGCATCTCAGCACTGTAGGGTCTGTGGGACCTGAGCAATAGCACCTCTTGCTCTGCTGCAATCAGATGGGCACGGTGTCATGTTCATTTACTGTGATTTTGAGGTGGGGGAGGCAGCATTGGCAGCCCCAACAGTTTGGTTATCATGGCCTCTGTAATTCTATAAAACAAACAGAGGCTGCTGTCAAGGCATTCATAAAAAATGAGGGCTGGAAGGGACTTCGGGAGGTCACATCTAGTCCACCCCCCTGCTCCAAGCAGTACCAGCCTCAACTCCATCATCCCAGGCAAGGCTTTGTCTACCTGGGTTTCAAAAACCTCTGAGGATGGAGAGTCCACCACCTCTCTGGGTCACCTGCTCCAGTGTTTCACCACTCTCCTCATGAGAAAGTTCTCCCTAATATCCAACCTCAACTCCCCTTGCTGCAATTTGAGCCCATTGCGTTCTTGCCTCTCCCATTCCAGCTGCAGCCTGGAAGCTGTTTTCATCTCTGTAGACACTTGGGAGCAATCTTTCCCTCCCATTTAAACCTTTGCCTGGCGTTGGCCAAGGTGCCCTCTTTATGATTCCCTCTCCCTGATGTTGCTTCTGAAACGGGGCCTTCCCCATAGCCTGAATGTGGGCACGTTGGTCAAGGAAGCCCTGAACCGAGCTCCTCCAGTCCTTCGTTCTCCCTGGCCTTGTATAGACTGCAAAAAAGCAAAAGCACGCGGTGCCTTTTGGAGGCTACCTCTGAGCAATGAGCACCTTCAGAAGCAAAACCAGCCTGGGGTCTAGATGCTAGGAGCAAGGGGATGGTCCTGCCCTATCCCCACATGTTAAGCTTCTTGCCTGTCTAATTGCCATCCCCTCGGCTATCATCCAGCCAGGCAGGTGGCCGTTCACTACCAAATGCACGACGGTGTTCTAGCTAATTGTTTCCACTTCCTAACTCTGGTCTGTGTGCGAGTGAAGCCCTTTTCCAACAGGCAGTACAAAGTGTGAGTGAGGTAGAGGCTGCCATCCCTCCTGCCAGAAAGAGGAGAAAGGAGAATCCAGGCTTGCCTGAAGGCAGCAGCCCATCTCTCGCAAGCCCACGGCAGGTAGTTCTCCTGGTACTTCTTGTATCTAGAGGAGTCGATACCAGTGCCTTTCCCCGAAGCCCTGTTTACCAGCACGAGGGTTTTTTCTGGGTTGACCTGGAAGTGAGCAGGGCAGGCCTGGGCTCAAGCCTGCTGTCAGCAGGATGAGACCTGTCCCACGGGGGTCTGGAGAGCAAGTACGTCTGCGCAGGGGTGGTTCTTAGCCTGAAACCCCCGCGGTTCATCTGTTTTCTTACAAACTCCTCACTGGCAAATGAGGCAGAAGGGGTTGCTGTGTGCATGTCCTTCCAGCCAGTGCCCGCACCGTGAGCCAACTGCTGCTTTGTGCATAGCTTCCCATTCCTGTCCACGTTCACCATTGCTCTTCCATCGTGGCTTGTGACCGGGCTGTTGTGCGCATGGCAGGGGCGAGGTAGGGGCTTAGGTCTGAAGAACCTCCACTCCCTTTGGCCCTGCAACCCTGTTTGTACTTAGCATCTGGGATGTGGACGCCTCGCTAAATGTATATACTGTAGGACTCTAAGCACCACTCTTCCCTGCGGAGTGCCCGGCCTTGGGGGATCTGTCCAGCTCCAGTGAAAGAAGTGGAAAATGGGCCTAAACTGTTTTCCTGAGGGCACCGATGCAGAACATCTGTCCCGTCCTGTCCTGTCCCGTCCCCACTGCCAAGGGCTCCCTTGGAGAAAATCGCACATCACAAATGTTAAAATGCTTCCCCCCTTCATTGTCGCACTCGTCTTTGGGGTAGAAAGCAGCAGCCAGGGCATGATCACACCTGCACAGACGGAGGCTGCTCAGGGCATCTCCTTGTCCTGTCCCAAAAGCACTTTATTTGTTCAGTTTTCAAAGGTAAAAGACTCCCCGTGACTCGAGTGGGGCCATCTCCTTTTTCACTTGATTCCCTTTGTCTTTACAATAGAAATTTGGGGTCGTGTTAGCCATGATTTCATGGGCGGGGTGAGACTAGCTTAATACATCTGCATCTGCAGAGAAAGAGTTGAGGCTGAATGGAGGCAAGCAATGAAGACAGCTTCTTTACTGAAAGTAATTGGGCTTCATTTCTCTGCTCTGTTGCACAGAAAAAGAAGAAGAAGAAGAAGAAGAAGAAGGATGCCCCTGACACGGAGCAGCCGGACTCCTTAAAGTCGGACACACCTAGTACAGATTGTTCTCTGGTCTCGGAAAAATCCTGCGATCCCTTTCCTGCATTGGAAGGCGCAACCCAAGAGGACAAAGTGGCCAAGCCGGGCACTGCGCTGCCTGCTGGTCGCACCGCAGGTGAAACAAAAAGCAGCGGTTCTTTGGGCCCCTTGGGAGAGGAGAATAAAAACACAGAAATGGCTGTGGGAGACCACTGCAGCAGCACCAGCGCCAGACTCCAGGATGATGCTTGTGGCAAGACGGCTCAGCCCACAGGCTCCACAGCTCCACAGGAGAAGATGGAGGATGGAAATCCCAAAGGTGATGGAGAAGAGGGCAGAGAAGAGAGGGGATCTGAGAAGCAGGAGGATGCCCGCAGCCCTGCTGAAACGGAGCAGGCCCTGGGAAAAGCATCCGATGCCCAAACTTCAGGGGCAGACGGAGGTGCCCTGGGCTCCAAAGGAGCTGGAGAAGAGGACTCCCCAGGGCTTTCCACCAGTACAGAAACGCCAGAGAATGAAGAAGCTAGTCCTTCTGCAGAGGCTGTGAATCAGAAGAGTAAAGTCTCACCGACTGAGCCTCGGGACACACAGAGCAGGGAAGGGAAGGTGGAACGAGAGTCCAAGCAGCAAGCACATGCTCCAGTGTCCGAGGCAACCAGCCAGGTAAGGTGCTGGGGTCCCTCTGGGTATATTGGGGTGATGAGTCTGACCCCTCTGCTCTGCAGTTCCCACCGGTACCCAAAGTAGGGCCATGTGTATGGTGTTAGTGCTGATAACAGCTGTGACCCATGCTGCGTTTCTTAGTCTAGAGGACCATGCTGTACAGCAGCCCCAAAACAACCCTCTCTCAAACCTAATGTCAGCTGCACAGCGATGTGTATTTCCTCCTACTATAAGCAAAAACAGTCTCAGAAAAAGCAGGATGTGGCATCTCTACAGCTTAACGTGAATCATGACGGCAGCCTGTTGGTCTGGGGGATTCCAGTTCATTGCATGCATGATTATTTATGTTGCAGGTGGTTGTAGGAGGGCAGCAAAAGGCGGCAGGAGGGTCACAGG